CAAAGGGCCGAGCAGGGAGCGGCGCTCCGCCCGGAAGTAGACGCGGAGAGGCCCGAGCGAGGAGGAAGCGGCCGGGCCGGCGAGCCACCGAAGGGAGCCCGCCCGGCGGCCTTCCCGCCTTCACTTACGGCCTCGTGAGCTCCGCGCTGTAACAAAGGTGAAAAAGAATAAAATAATTCCTGGCGGGAGGCGACGGTAGCCTGGCCGGGACCTTCCCAGACAGCGCCGGGCAAGCCACCGAGCGCGCAGTGATGACGCAACACGCAGCCGGGGCCTTCTACTTTCAAGCGTAGCGTGGTCAGAAAATGTCTGAGGGCGCTGTTGTCATGGTAACGTGTATCTACCTCTGCTAGGTTCTAAGGGTATGATTGTTCCGTGGTTCCATTTCTTCACGCTAGCTACACAGCTAATCGAACAATAACAACACAATGATAACAAATGGCGTCGTAATGTATAATTAATACGTATTTTGCATCCTGTGTTCCACACTATCAGATGTGCAATATAATTTTTTACTATAATTGTGTTTGTCATTTTGGACCTGACAGTGTTTTAATTGTCTACCCTCAATCATTACAAGATAATTTAAAAAAAAAAAAAAGAGCCGATGCTTGGCTAGCTAGGCGACCAAGCCAGCAAAGGAGCTTGCTGCTAAGTTTGATGAACCTGAGTTTGATCACCTAGCTCCTTTAGTGAAAGGAGAGAATCAGTTACGAAAGGTGTCGTCTGACTTTCACATGTGTTCCGTGACACAGCGCACCCACACACATGCACATACAGGCATGCATACCAGGGCCTGCAAATGCTAAGTCATGAGTAAGAGACACGTATCTGATACTTTTGGACGTCAAGACTTTGCTTGAGCCGCTCCCCCACTGTTGACACGATTTTTCTTGTTTTTGTTTGGCATTTTCTCTTCTGTTTGTAGCAAGAAAGGAGAATTCTGTGAGAGTCTCTCCATAAAATCTTCTGGAATGATAGAGGATTGGGGGCTAATAGTTACTTCTCTTCTTCCTGTGACCCTGATCTTCTTATCACACTACTCTGCTAGAGTAAACTGATTGTAATGGTGGCGAGACATATTAGCCAAGTCCACAACAAAGTATAGAACTAAAATGAGTGGCATAGTACGTGTTTTAAATAAGAATGGTCCCCATAGGCTCATATATTTAAGTACTTAGGTCTATGTTGGTGGACATGTTTGCAGACGAATTAAGAGGTGTGGCATTGTTGGAGATGGTGTGTCATTGGGGGTAGGCTTTGAGACTTCAAAAGCCCTCACCATTCCCCTCTTCCCACCCTCTGTTTGCACGTGCACACACTCTGTCTAATGGTTGTGGAACAGACAAAGGCTCTTTGTTGCTGCTCTAGCACCATTGCCTGCCTGGTTCCCCACCATGAAAGTCATGAACTCACCCATGAAGCTGTAAGCAAACCCCTCATTAAATGCTTTCTTAGTCACCTTGGTCATGGTGTCTCTTCACAGCGATAGAAAAGTAACTAAGACACATGTGTCTTAGTAAAGGTTTGTATTGCGGTGAAGAAACACCATAACCATGGCAACTCTCACAAAGAAAACATTTAAGGGTTGGAAAGGTGGCTTAATGGTTAAGAGCATTAGCTGTTCTTCCAGAGGACCAGGGTTCAATTCCCAGTAATCAAACGGTAGCTCACAACCATCTGTAATGAGGTCTGGTGCCCTCTTCTGGTCTGCAGGCATACATGCAGGCAGAACTATATATGTGTGTGTATGTGTGTAATAAATCTTTTTTAAAAAAAAGAAAGAAGACATTTAATTGGAGTGATTTTTTTTACAGTTTCAGAGGTTCAATCCATTATCACCATGGTGGGGATAGCACCTCCTGTGTACATTCACTATGTTCTCTTTTAAAAGGTGGGCCTTGCCCACCTCCCATCTGTTTCTCTTTATTAGGGGAAAGGAATTGGAAAAGGGAGGGGGAGAGAGGGAAGACTGTCCTCTGGGGACAGGAGCAGCAGAAGAGAAGAGACAGGCAAGGAGAGGGGGTAAGAGACAGACAGGCAGAGAAGCAGGGGGAAAGAGAGAGAGAGAGAGAGGAGAAAGAGATAGGAGGTGGACAAGGCCCACCTTTTAAAAGAGAATGTAGAGAGTGTGCACAGGAGATGCTCTTAGTGACTGCCGCTGAGAACATAGCCTGTCAGAACCCAAAGGGCAGGCGAGGGCAGATGCCTGAATACTAACGTGACCAAAGCTGCCAAGTTCTGCTGTTACTGGGTCTGGAGCATGGCCCCTCATTCAATCGCATCTTACCCAGCTTTCTGGTTTCCATAGTTTCCTTCACTGTGTAAGCTTGGCTTTCACGAACCTTTCTCTTGTAGACCAGGCTGACCTCAGACTCAGAGATCCGTCAGCCTCTGCCTTCACAGTGCTAGGAATAAAGGTGTGCCCCACCATATCCAACTCCCAAGTTTTTCTTTAGTTCCCTTTCTTTCTTTTTTATTTTATTGATATTTATTGAGTTCTACATTTTTCTTTTTTTAATTGATATTTATTGAGCTCTACATTTTTCTCTGCTCCCGTCACTGCCTCTCCCCTTCCCCCTTCAAACCTCCCCCAAGGTCCCCATGCTCCCAATTTACTCAGAAGATCTTGTCTTTTTCTACTTTCTACTTCCCATGTAGATTATTGTATCTGTGTAAGTATCTCTTAGTGTCCACATTGTTGTCTAAGTTCTCTGGGATTGTGGTTTGTAGGCTTTCTTTGCATTATGTTTAAAAACCACCTATGAGTGAGTACATGTGATATTGTCTTTCTGTGTCTGGGTTTTCTAGCTCCATCCATTTTCCTGCAAAATGCAAGCTTTCATTTTTTTTTCTGCTGTGTAGTACTCCGTTGTATAAATGTACCACATTTTCCCTATTCATTCTTCGATCAAGAGGCATTTAGGTTGTTTCCAGGTTCTGGCTATGACAAACAATGCTGCTATGAACATAGTTGAGCACATGTCCTTGTGGCACACCTGAGCATCCTTTGGCTATATGCCCAAAAGTGATATTACTGGGTCTTGAGGAAAGTTGTTTTCTAATTTTCTGAGGAATCGCCACTGACATCCAAAGGGGTTGTACCGACTTGCACTCCCACCAGCAATGCAGAAGTGTTCCCTTTTCCCCACATCCTCTCCAGCATAAGTTATCATCAGTGTTTTTGATCTTGGCCCTTTTTACAGGTGTAGGATGGAATCTCAGAGTTGTTTTGATTTGCAGAGTATTTTTCTTATATTCATTTACATATCTATATAAAGCTTGTATCTTATCAATCCATCTTTCATACTTGGCACAATTATCAAACCACTTCTTATATTTGGCATAAAATACCACTATTGCTATTAAGAATAAAGTATGAGTTATCAGGGTGATAGTAATTATAATTAGTATTATGCCAGTCTCAGTTAAGTCATAGTGAAGCCATTTATTTTTATTTTCTGCTTCTTGGACCTCACTCTGCAGACCAGGCTGACTCCAAACTCACAGAGATCCACCAGCTGCTGCCTCCCTAGTGCTGGAATTAAAGGCATGCCCCACTACCACCTGGCTCACTTTCTACTTCTCTTTTCAAACCATCTAAAGTAGCACTATATAGGATCCTAATGTATTTCCCATTCTTAATGGGGGAATGAATTTTCCTTGTAATGTTTCTTAACTCTCTCCTTGAGGACTTCCCATGCATGTGTCTTACCAAATGTGATGGTTTCTCAGTTTGCCCACAACTGGTATGATTTCTCTGTGTGGTCATGTCACACATTGGAACACCCACTGTTGTTTTTAACAAAATCTCAACCATTCGATTTTACCAATAAAGACTAGGGAGCCAGATGCTGAAATGAAAGCCTGCTAGCTGAGAGAGGCAGAGAAAGCACCCAGCTGACCTTCCTCTTCAGCTGACATCTTCAAAGCCCTTTTTTTTCTATACCGTCTCAAACAAGACCATCAAATGGGATGTCCTTCCCTTCTACTTCCTGTGTGTCTCTCTATCCATCTTCTTGATTCTCTCTTACTCTCTGTGATTTTTTTTCTTAATAATCCTATGTTCTCTTCCTGTCAACTGATTGCTTGGTCTGCCTGTCAATCTATTCTTGACTTTATTTAATGCTGTTTACAATAGTCAAGCAGAAAGTTCATGGATGAAAGTTATGTGCTATGGCTGAGCCATACCGCAACTAAAAACAGTTGTTTTTTTTTTTCAGTAAATAAAACAATCCCTGGGTTCATGATGTTATAAAAAAAATATCCTGCAACATTTCCTTCTACAATTCCTAGTCCTCAGCCGCCTCCCCTTCCATTTGGGTCCACCTCCTTTCTGTTACTATTAGAAAACAGACTTGTAAGGGATAATAATAAAATATAATAAAAATAAAACAAACATGTGAGTATAGGGGGAGAAAGCGAAAGAGCTCATGAGACGGTATATATATAAGAACACTGACAGAGACCCACTCATTCTCACACTGGGGAATCCCATAAAAACACAAAACCAGACGCTATAATATATACCCAAAGAACCTTTAGGGATGAAAATAGAGAAAAATGAAAAATAAAAATAATAAATAAATAAATATTCTTAAGGATGATATAAAAAATAATAATACATAAATAAATAAAGCAGCCCTGGCACAACACTATGAGACAAGAAATTTCCAAAGGTGCCATTGAGTATGTTTGCTACTGGCATCCATGGCTGGGCATGCAGCCAACCTTACAAGTAGTTTGTTTCCTCAGTGAGACTCCCTTGGAAAGAACTAAATTTTCAGTTACAAGTAGATATTATTTGGAGATAGCTTCTGGGCTAGGGATGGGGCCACCTCTCCGTTCAGCTCTAGGACCACATCTGGTACACACCTGTTCCAACTCTGTGCATTCTGTCTCAGTCTCTGTAGGTTCAAATGAGCTCTGATCCTGTTAGCTTAGAGGGTCTTTTATTGGTATCATCCATCCCCTTTGGGTCTTACATTCTTTATGCCTCCTCTTCAGAAGGTTTGCCTGGACCCTGAGGGAGGGATATGATGAAGATTTCTCCTTTAGAGCTGAGTGTGCCAAGGTCTTTGGCAGCATAATGTCTGGCTGAGGGTCTCCATATTTGTTCCTATGTACTGTAGGAAGAAGAATGATGGTAGACCAAGGCATTGATCTATGAGTTTATCAGAATGCCATTAAGAATTATGTTATTGCCACAGGGTTTTTTTCTGTATGTTTGTTTAGTTTTTAAGGACGTTAGTACTTGGTTTTACCCTCAGGCATTGTTGGGCATGGGCTCCATCTCCTGGAGGAGGCCTTAAGTCAGATCAGATATTGG